GATGTCACTGAGCAGGTTTTACCTGTTCTCTGTATCTCCATAGAAACCATTATCAGTAGGGTGTAAACCTCATCTACAGGGACCAGACATGGTCACAAGCCTTTAGGGAGAAGTATCCCATTGTCCTTAACAGCAGGGAGTGGGCCCTACTTGTGATGGGATCAGACAGTAGTCTGGCAGCTGACTACCTTCATGGAGGTAGTTTGATAATCATTTGCCATTAGCTGCAAGCAGTACCCTAAGTCTAACATATATTTGGGGGAGACTACTTGGGAGAAAGCTTTCTGTTTCCCACAGAGTTGGGACCAACTTAAGGACAATTAACAACAACCACAAATGGGATGAATATCACTCTAAGAGTACAGTTTAGAGGAAAAATGAGAATCAAAGATACTTTCTCACAGCACCCTCTCTTCCTTTCTCTGTGCCTGCCCCTCCCTTTCCCCTGTTTCTGTCCTGCCTTGTCTCAGGGCGAGAGGAAGTTGATGATGTCTTAGACAAGCGGTTTCCCTCATGAATTGTTCCTCCGGCAAAGATGAGGGCACAGGTCCTTTAGCCAGGAATGAAGAGCTGGTGCTGTCCAAGGACATCATCTCTGTTCCCCTGTGGTTCTCCCGGAGTCCACTCCAGGTTCTCAGCAAGGCTCCACCTCCATCAGTCCCTTCTACTGTCGCTAGGAAAGCAGAAGTGAGGACTGCTGGGATAGGAGCACTAGGGGAGCCTAGGAGAAAAAACAAAACAACCTCAACAAAAACTTGCAAATGGATCAAAAGTGACAGATTGAGGGAACCCTAAGTGTGGACTGGCAAGCCAAGTATGCCTCTCAGTTTTGCTGTGGAAATGTAGCCATGCCTTTGCTGACCTTGGTACTGTTAACTGTCATTCTCTTGGCAATCTCTCCCTTTCCATCTAGCAGAAGGTCAGTTCAGATTGTTGGTATTTCTCCTGGGGAGGGACTTGCTGTGCAAACTGCAGGTCACCGTGTTCTGTAGTCTGTGTGGAGTTTCTGTGGAGCATCTAGAAAATAAGACTTTTGATTTGGTGACTCTCTGCCTCCCCTTGAACTTTCTCTGTACATACTGTAGTCAATCCATCTGTTCGCAGGTCTTCCTCATAGGCTGTCCACCTACCATGCTAAATCCTCACATTTAGATAGCCTGCCTTTGACTCCCGATTGTCTCTCAACCAGTTGTGATTTTTTAGCTTTCAGTTCCTGCTCCAACTATGCAAAATGGATTTCCTCTTTGTCCACCAGAG